TAGAACTAAAAATTGACGATTCTAGCAATACTAAGACGTTAAAATTCGAATTTAAAGTTATGAGAAAATTACACATTTCTATTCATTCCATAGCCATTCCGATCCATTCCTAGCCATTCGAATGGCTCGGAATGAGATTTTTCCCCCTTGACTGAATGGCATACATTATAGAATACAAGAGTTAACTAGAATTCAGCGCAGAACGTGTCAACATAATCTCCCTCAGAGTTTATATGAAATATACGATGACATTGCTTCGTTTGTAAAAGAAGACGCTGAGAAGAATGTGTCAACGTGTCTTTCGTAGTCTGTACACGAAGAAGTTGATCGAACTATGTTGCTCTATGCATCGAGACTGATTGCTAGTCATATATCTTTTCTAAAACATACCAAGATAAAGGCGAAATAATAGTGCGAACCCATAAGTTCTCTCACGTTTGTGTGCCATTGCAGAACAACAAAGAAAATTAAGGCTATCATTTTTTCTTCACAAGAAAATTAGATTTCAAGCTGACGATATGAAGCAATATTTTCAAGTCGTTTCTAGGAATGGATGGGAAAAGACAGAAAGGAAAAATGTCGAAAGGATAAATATAGATGAAAAATCTCGAAAAATCTCGAAGAGAAATATGCCGAAAAGAAAAATAACGAAAAAAAAATGTCGAATAGAAAAAGATAGAAAAGAGAAAATATCGAATATGAAAAATAGAATGAAAAAAGATATTAATTGTAAGAGATCGTTCAAATGCGACAATTGAAAGGCTCTTTTGGGGTATAAGTGTGGTCGCCAATGTAGGATTTTGGATTTGGGTTTACATTTATGTGTGCCTGTGGTGATAGACAAAGACAAGACTGAATCATACTCGCTGTGTTATCTTATGTTGCCGATAAAAATGTTACAAAAAAACATAGTGAATCATGACGTGAGGAAGGTTAGCAGCGGATTGGAGGTTTTTCCTGCTGATATGGGCCCCTAGACTTGGGTCGAGTCTCTGGTTGCTTGGGTTCTATCCAGAATTCAATTCTTTATGGAACACTAACATTTTTGGAGGCGAGCATCGAGCAGAAACTAGGAATTTCAGTCGAGTGTGTAAGAATGTGGATTTGGATATAGGTATAGAGAATAACACCACACATAACTTTACGAATTTCTCTGTTCTTTCTCTTTATTCAATAATTTTTTTATTGATACCATAGATTATTATAATGAAAATGTACTCTTTTAATTCGACACTTTTTCTTTCGATATTATTCCATCATACCTTTTCTAGAATCAAATAAATGAGTCAACATGAAACAACTCATTATTAAAAGTAAATGATTTTCGAAATTGTCTTCTCGTAGGAATCAGTTATCGAGTTATTCGGTTTTGGATATCACGACCAAGCGCGTCAGCAGAAACGTTGAAAGGCTTCTAGAAGAACTCAGATCAATAATACCGGAATTCTATATAGAGATACAACAATGCAATTAACGAATAGAAAGAAGTATATTTACGCGGCTAAGCTCCAGCATTATCTATTCAGTCAATACACTGGATCAAATAGACACGGCTAAATAGAACTTTTCAGATAACCCTTCGGATCACCATTAGCCATAACCGCAATCACGATGGTTCAGCTCTTTGTGTCATTAAATACTTATGATTGCCATATATTCCACGCTATCATCATCTCATTGAGGAGTGTCTCCATGTATCATGATAAGATGAATAAAAATCGAAAATAGATGTCGAGAGCGTGAGAATTTCGAGTACTAAAATATTTTCGTAAGAAAATAAATTCCTCTCATACTGACTCTTCAATAAAAGCCATTACAATTTTAAAAGTTACAAAATTCGTTGCAAATGAACAGAACATTCTCACCTTCTGATATCATTATAAATTCTAATTCAAACAGGCACATTCTTATTGAAGCCTTGGAACCGTAAATAGAAGCAAACATCTTTAATAGAAAAAACGTTTCTTAGCTTAGACATTTTGTTTGGAGTGCACGCTTCAAGCAAGAGACCACTCTCACTTCTCAGCAATAACCTATTCACTTTTGGAAAGTGTTCAGTGCAAGCCCTATTCCATGATTATGTGAAATTTTATCGAGCTGTCTTCGTCATGAATGAGTTATTCAGACACATTTTCTTTGAATTATCAATAACAAAAGCTATTCAATAAAAAAGAAACCTAAAATCTGATAGATCATGACAAATTTTTTGGTATGTTTCTCTCGATCTGTGTATACGGCATAATAGATGTAACCTTTTCCTCATATACCCCAGTATTGATTTCTAATTGTTTCTTATTAAAAAAATCAGTATTGAATCGTATTTTAGTATTCGAAGAGACACCAATATTCTCAACATCTCCTTCCATCACTGCTGAAGTTTTTCCATTACCTATCTCGCAGAATATCGTCAAAAAATGTATTGTCTATCCAAGTGGCGATGTCTACGATGGGGAGACCTTGAATAATCTTTATCATGGGTATGGAATTTACACATGGAAGAACGGAGATCTTTATGAAGGCATGTGGGCAAAAAATCGCCGGGAAGGTCACGGTACTTGGATTTGGGGAGAAAAGTCGCCATCAGCAGGTGATCGCTATTCGGGCGAATGGCATTTAGATAAGAAGCATGGGCAAGGAGAATACATTCAGGCCAATGGCGATGTCTATATTGGAGAATTCAAAAATGATAAACGTGATGGGAACGGTATTTATCGTATACGTAATACTGATGAATCATTAGATGTTACTTATAGTCAAGATGAGTTTGTGACTCCAACGAATATCTCGAGTGCCTGATGTTAATTCTAATGATCCATTTCAGGAATTGAGAATTTGATAAAGATATTTCAATAAATATTTCTATAATTATAAGCATAGTTGCCGCTAACTATTAGCTAACATGATTATTGCTATAGAATATAAACAAGTATTACTGAGTTGTAGAAATCTTGCAGGTTATATGTCATGGCACTGTAGATAGGGTGTAGATATGTATTTCTATGAACAGTTAGAGATACTCTAGCAAATCAAGTCTCGGTGTGGGCGTGACGTGAGAGCCCATACTCATACGAACAGCTATACTCACACCCTCACTCTCACTAAATCTATACACATGCAACTTCTTTCTGCTGCTTAAACTCAAAGATCACCCACATAAAATTAAACTCAGCAGCGCAATACAATGGTAGACATGCTGTAAACAGTCACTAATAGTCTCTCAAAAATTGATCTCAAACTCTGCCTTCATGACTTATTTTAATCCAATTCATTAGTGCATTGTTGACGAGGGGTAATACTTTCGAAAATAACACTTGAACCACCCTTTAAATGTTTCTTGAAAGCGAGAACGAAAAAATTTTTGTCGTGCTCCTTGTACTTTCTATTAGCTCAGTTTTAAGAACACACAATTTAACGATATGAAACTCAACTGTGCTTTGATTTATAGCCTGCAGTGTGACAGGAATAAAACGTATGACTTTTATTTTTATGTTAGTTTGTAGCGACAATATTTTTCAGTAAGAAAAGCCAAACCTGTCTTTTGTGAGATGTAGCGTAAAAATAAAATAATGATCAAAAGAGTTTTTTCAATGTTTAATTAATTGTTATGAGAGTCGATCAAATCAATTAACTATTTTTTCTTATTTTACAAAGAAAGAAAAAAAATTACGTGAGGCGAACAACTTTTTTCTCAGAAGTAACACTCGAAAATTTCTAGAGGTTTTCACGGTCTCTCGGGCAGAAATTGCTGGAATGGTGATCCCAAATTATATCAATCGACTAACAACGGGAGGTCTCTAAGTGATCCATCGCTTTCAAGTCGGAATTATGTGCGTCAAGGAGGTCATAATGAGTTATGAATACCCTGAAAAGAGTTCAGACCCATAGCTTATTTCTGTCAAGGTACTGCATTTTTACGGTATTTTTAAGCATAGTGCCATGATCCCCTTCAGAAACATCAGAAAAAACTGAGTTGCGAGTTTCAACTTGAAACTTTGTATAGGGGCAAATCTCAACGAGAATAGTTTATTATAAAAGTTTCAGATCTCTTGATTGTTCCTATCTTAGAATACAGTTATGGTAAAAGCATACTACACTAAAAAAATAGGTATTTTACCGAACCCTCCGGAAATGTTCTTGAAGATGTACAGAATCTAAAAAAGGGTTTTCTGATTTACGAAACTCTAAAGGTTTTGTATTTTCGTACGAAACCTTTTCTGCTCTGAGGAACTTAAAGAAGATTTCGCATTAGAAGGTTCGGCCCGTGTACCTGAGAGAAGAACCTTTAAAGGTTTCGTAAATCAGAAAACTCGTTTTTTAGATTCTGTACACCTTCGAGAACATTTTTGGGGATTCGGTAAAATACCTATTTTTTTTAGACTCTGTATAGTACATCGCTCATACATACTAGTAGATTCCGATGTTCCTATTTCAGAAGAAGAGCAATCAAAAGATCTGAAACTTTCACAATAAACTATCCTCATTGAGGCCTGTCACTATACAGAGCTTCAAGTTGAAATTTCCAACTCAGTTTTTTTGTGATTTTGCTGAAGGGAACCATGGCACTATGCTTACAAATTTACCGTAAAAATTCAGTATCTCGACAGTAATAAACTATGGGTCCGAACTCTTTTCAGGGTATTCATTTCTTCTTTATTAAATATCGGTTAGTTTGCTTTTCATTAAATCATTCGGATACGTATTTTATTAAAATTACGTATGCATTAAATTGTACTCAATTTTGATTAAAATGTATTTCAATAGCAAATGAACTTAAATAAAAAAAATAGCGAATTCCACTATGACGAGAATAATATTTAAATTTCCCTTAAGCCAAAATTTGACCATATTTTAACTTCAAAATAGGTTAAGATTAAAACGATCACTCGCACAAGCATTCTTTATATGGAGTGGAATGCAAAAAAAAATTACCATTGCAATTTTCAAAAGTTCTTCTGTTAAAAGCGATGAATATTGAAACTTTTTTTTTGATTGACAGTACTATAGTTTACAATTAGAGCAGCCAATACGAGTTTCGCTCTCTCTTCAAATGGATAAGTTCGAAAAACCTGACTTTCTTGCAAGCGATTGAACGACAGATTAGATTTTATATGCCATTTTTATATCGTTCTTTGGTTATGAAGTCCTTCTATTGATGGAAATTCAAGATGTTCCTTCTGTGAAAAATTCATTCGAATATCGGCCTCAAGCTTGTAACTAAACTGAAGTTCATGCAACTTGATAGCTACGTGATAGTTTCATGTGAATACTACTCAACCATGAGTTTGTTAACCCGGATAGTTTCAAATAGCATTACAATACAAGTTACTTCAGTAGTATAAGATATCAACAGTTGAACAATGCACCAAGCTCATCGAATACTTAACGCTTGGACATAATTCTAGCGCCATCACTGGAGAATTTTAGAAAACAGACGTCGTCCGAATTGACATGTGAAATGGCCCTTTTTTTTCTTAGCCTACTGTATGGATTTGGTTATATCTTGCTTTTAAACAAGCGATGGTTTACAGTGGAGTTCGCAATGCTTTATTCAGAAGAATGCCTGAGATGCCGGTCAGAGACTACAGCTTGACTTCCTCTGGAGAAAAAAAAACTGGATAAAACACTGGAAATGTTTTAATAAAATGAGTCTTGTCAGCTTAACAGTATTTGATACGGTCGACAGAAGAAAAACGCAAGCAATGATAGTAAGAAATGTGTTGGATTTTTTTCACACATGGAAGGACTCACACTGTTTAACATAGAAAATCCTGTAAACTCTTGCCAACTTAAACTCTTTGTTTGTTCGTGTTATTGCATGGTTTGTAACAAAATGATGTCTCAAATTTTTGTTCCTTCTCATTTAATAGAATAAAGATATTGGAATTTATTTTGTCAGTCTTTGACTAGGTGGAAATGTGGATATCAACATCTGAAAGAAGTGAAGCGGAAAGTAAAAACAAACGAGCTTCACACTTGTAAATTTGAATATTTCTCATTCACCTCTCTTACGATAAATTACTTATTTTATTTACATACGTTCTCTCTCTGACAAATGTCGAATGATATCCATACAACTTTTGCAAGCGAATTATCTTCTACTTTTGAAACTTTAATATCTGATGTCGTGCAATTTTATCTTCATCTTAGTCTTCTTATTCGATCACTTATTTGTTCTCTAGTTCTTTTCTTTTTCTTTTCGATCAAAATCTACGTCATGCATTGAATAATCATGTCATTATTATTAGTAGTATCATTATGCTCATTGGTCTAATTATTGAATGTACTGATATTCCCTGACTTCTCTTTTATTATCACTTTAATATTGCTCTATATCAAACGAATACTTTTTGTTTCATTTGATCATATATCGAATAGTCATTTTATGATGTATAACCAATGCTCTTTGTTTCGGCATCAATTGAAAGACATTTATTCATTTTTCACGATCAGTGGTTAATAACAAAATCGAAATGCTTTCTCATTCATTATCTACCTCCAGTTTTAATTCTTCTATACTGTCTTATTTATTGCAAGTCAATTATTTTCTTTCCTTTTTGTGAAAATTCTTTTGATTACTCAATAAATGGATGTTTTTATAATAATGCTGCTTTTATATGGAAAGTTTCATTCAATGAAATGGTTTCCAGTTTGATTATTATTATTTCCACTATTACTCTTCTTATAGATATTCTTCGGCAAAAACATCATCTACATCAATAAATTCAATGGCGAAAACATCGTAAACTAACCATACAAATATTATCTATTTCGATTCTGTATTTTGTCTTTTATTGTCCCGTTATATTTTTAATATTTCTTCGTCTATGCAGTGTATCATCGTCTATTCTTATTAGCCTTATGGAATGTGCGCCTTTTTCAGTATCATTCGTTATTCTTTTCTTTCCTTTAGTTTGCATTGAATCAATGCCTGAACTGTGAGCCAAAATAAAAAAAAGTGTTAAGAAGGCAACATGAATTACGAATGGTTGTTTCTGTAACATACACAGGCATGAAAGACAAATTGAACAACTGCATTACAATAAATCATATTTATTGATGATAATTATTTCATACCCAAAATTGTCATAAAATATACATCAACCGAGAAGTTCTAGGGAAAATGCTGAATAAACTCAAGAAGTGTTGGCGCAATCTTTTTTGTTCGTTTTTTTGTTTCGTATTCACGAAGAATATTGCATCGAAATTCAAACGTCTTATTCATTGCTATCGCTTAGGTTGTCAGTCATAAGATATTGATAAGGACATTCAACTTTGTTTCATTTCTTGACATCGAGTATAGTGATGGAGTCTCTCAGGTGCTGAGCTCCTCCACAGTCAAAACTCTGGCTTCGCCTCTAATGGAGTGCGCTGTAAATATTAAATAGGTTCTATTTTTTAGAAAAGCGACTCATTAAGAGAAGTTCAATTTGATTTGTAAAGAATTCGTTTCTCCAGAAAATGGAAAACCGATACAAATTGTAAATGATCTGCGGAAATCAACTACAACTTCGTAGAAAATTATTGTGTCAATCTCGATCTGTTTCTTATTATTGTTTTAAAAGTTCAACAGCATTAATTATCACGAAATCACACACATAATATATATAACGTGTACTGTAGACTAAAATCGTATATAATCAAATACAAAGGTCTTTCATTACTGCATAAATTGAATCACTCACGTTTGTTTTACTGCATCATTCATGAAGAGTAAATCAGAGCATAGATTCGCAATTGAATGATAATTTACTTCGCAAATCTTATTATTATAAAACTGTAAACAATCCATTCGACAATTTATTGTTAAAAATGAATAGCTTTTTCTGTCCATCAGCGTATCTCACTTACTTTTTGGAAATGTAATCACGACAGTAGTATTATCTATTGTGCGTTTAATACAGACATTCTGATTTTAATTATTATCTAAACTTAAGGGTGTGGGTGTGAATGAGAGCGTGGATCTTCTTTTTAACAACACCGACATCCATTCGATGAAACTATTGAGTCGCTGAAAAAGAAAGATGGCAATGGATCTGAATACATTGAGTTTCTAATATATTCGGATTTGCATAATAGTATTTGTTGATGAAAATCAGTTAATGACATGATGAGATGACAAACTATGAAAGTTTTGAGTTCATAATGAACTCGAATAATCCAATAGAGTAATACCACTCTTGATCACAATATTTTTGCAGATAACGCATAAGATGGCCAACGGTTGCTGAGTCGTCGGTTAACTGTTTGTAAACTTGTGAGAACCGATCTGCCAATATTTGATCTCGATATGTGACATAGATTAACGAACGTCTTGCTTCGGAAGCGACCATCAATTGAAGGATTGCTTGAAAGAACAAGAAAGATAAAGTCAATGTTTATTTGTTGTTTTTTTGTACTTTTTTACCTTTTAGTTCAATATCACCATTAAAAGCACCGCAACCCCAATTACCAGTAGCAACACCAACGATGTGTTGTTCTGAAGATAAATTCAAATTTTGGAAACCTGCATAGGCTTTCGTTAATTCTCGTTGTATACTAGGTATATTGAATTGCATCGATGAAGATGAAAAACAAATTGCATCGATAGCTACTACATGGCACATTTTACGACCCCATGCATCTCTAAATGTGAAAAATATGAATAAACATTGTCATGTATACAACGCTCAATGTTAAAGAACTTAATGAATTTTCAAACTGTGTTCTCTTGGAACACTATTTAAGAATACAACATAGTTACGATCCGCGCATGAAACCCTATCCGAGAATTTACGCAAATGAAAATAAAAACGCTACACTTGGCTTTTCTCTCCAATGTTCATAAAACTATTCAACAACACACAGAATAGTTGTTTTTATCATTGGTTCTATGGAAATCGAAGAAACGAAAGTTAACTATGCCAAGAACAAAATTTGAATATGCTTGAAGATCAGTTCGTTGATCTATTGTGATTGGAAAAACGACAACACAATGGTCCAAAAGTCCGAAATTTCGCTGTCCTAAAATCAACTATACTATGAGTGAAAGCTCCACACCTACATGGTTAAAAAATCCACAGTATCAAAGTCAGAAAAACCACAATACCATGTCGTCTTTCTGCCACAATCTCTGGGAGCAGTGAGAGTGTGAACAGGTAGTGTGGATCCGATTTTCTCGCCATACACTTCTGCATTCATTAACCATCGTGTTTTACAAAGCTTTTGTTATGCTCGGAAACACGATTTGATGTCAAATTAATATCATATTGAAATAATTCGATAGTACAATCTCATTCTGTGATAAAAGTGAATGTTGAAACTGAATTATGCCATTTCAAATCAATACTATGATTCTACTGGTTTATAGAAAATCTATACTCCAGTACAATCTGATTCACTTATGATAGTAGAATGTTGTAATTCTATTGATCGATGAAAGTTCTCTATCATCTTCAGATCCTACTGATTGTTGAAAATAGTATCGGCTATGACAAGAATCGGTGGGGGAGAGGTGACTTCCGATCATGGCAAAAATTGTGATCCTTTCCAACGAAACTAATCAGTTTTCTTTGGGTCTTTGCCAAATATATCAATCAATGGGTTGACGTCCATCTACATCTCCTGTATAAATGGTTCACTTCATTAAGGTTGAAGACATTTTTCGCAAAGTGTGGATCTGGGTTGGGCAATTACCACTCTTCCACAACTTAGGCCATCCAGACCTATAGCTGAAACCACATTGTTGTCGTGCTCAAGAATCATTTCAATCTCGACAAGATCGCAAAGCAAAATGTTCCACTCGATATGAGAGTAAAGGTTTGGAGTCAATATTATTTACTAAACATTAAACAAGAGTAAAAAAGAAACCTTCCTGAAATATGAAACATCTTAAGTTTTGGCCGCATTCGAAGTTCATTCTCATGAGAAAACCATACGAAAAAGCCACAATGTGTCAAAACGTTATATAAATGCATGGTCTTTTGCTCCGTGACAGGAAAGGATTACATCAAGATATAGCATGTCGTGATTGATAAACAAAAGCCCACATACTTTGGCGTGTCATCCACAAAATCAGCTTTGAACTCTAATCCAAATCCATAACCTTTGTACGAACAGTAGCGTTCACAGCCGATAAGAAAAATGCATTCATCATCCTTCATTACTTCACATACAAGTAAACTAATTATCATTTCCGGGCATACTGTAAAACGAATTTCTTCTTGAACACAACCATCATTCATAACACCACCACCCTACAACAAATATCGTGTGAACAAGTTCGATTATGAAATTGTCTCACAATGTATTGATTAGCAAAGTCAACCTGCAAAAAAAGATCGCATAGTTTTCTATCAGTTTCATACACAAACAAGTAGCGATGAACAAACTTGAAGATAACCGTTCATGTCCTCGATCGTTCGATTGTGCGTTATATGAATAGATGAAATTCGTGCTTGAGAACTTTGCCATTTTGGAATATGTTCTTTCGATATTTGATAACGTTGAAATTGAATCACACCGGTTGGCACTGAAATCCATCAGCTAGAATCACAGAATATGGAATAGATTTAAAGAAAAACGAACTCTTTTCTGTAATTCGTCGAAAGTAGTTCATGATACATTTCAGTTTTTCAACCTTCCACATTGGCACTCTGTTTGGATTACCATCGAAAAGGCTAGAAGAAAAATAGCAATCATACGAAATTTTACTCCGCTTGTGACAAAGTTATTGATAAAACTTGCTTGTCGAAATTAGGATTCTGATACCGTTCATTCAGATAATGAGCGAGCGCATCATAATTCGTCTCGAATAGACAGAAAAATGCGCAAGCTAATAACGATGCGCACTGTCGTTGAGATATAATGACAGATCGATTCGATCCGATTGGTAGTAAAGGCAATGACTATGAAGAAAAGAAACTTTGAATTCAACCAAAGCATAGAAACATGGTGTCGAAATTGAGGCAGATCGAGCGCATCATAGTGATCATTTCCATGTAGTGTCGCATCCAGGATTTTTTGAGCACTGGACCAAACGTCAGGAAAGGTCTAGTGAAGATTGGACCTTTATGAGTAATTCAAATACTCATTGTTCCCTTACTGTTTCTCTGCGTTTTCCTTCTCTAACATAGTTAGAGTGTTGGAATTTTGTCGCCACAAATCTTTTCTTGTTTTCTTTCATAATGCTTTTGTGAATTGCCAAGGATAACGAAATAGTCGCTATACAATGGGTAAAAGTGCTGACGAAATTATTCATACACATGCGCCATATAAACTTCTAAGCTGATTTTTGAACAAAAGCGAAACCTCTTTGCATTTCTCGTTTATCGTACGCATAGATTGAAGTGCCTCTTTTATACCCTGCAAAAAAGTGCTCTAGCTCTCAAGATCCCCCTAAATTTTAAGACGATCCGATAAAAATCGTCGGTTTTCAACTATACAAAATAAGTTGTATGCTAAAATTACTTTTTTTGTTTCTATGCTTCAGCCAGATGTATAAAAAGTATACCACTCAAAAGAGAAAATTATTCTGCACAATAAAAGAAAAATGAAGTTATATTAACAGTATAGTGTTCGTTAGAATGCGCTTGAAAAACTATAAGAGGTTCCTGGTATGACAACACAGAAAGACTGCCGGATCAAATGCTTCTGAGTGATTTAAGCGTCAATCAGATTTATATTTATAGCTCTATCTTCATTATAATATTTTGTTCTAGCAAATTGACTGAAAATTTCGAACATATGCAGGCTGATTTGGAGAAAATTCAGCTCACATCAAAATCACATATTACTCTCCATATAATCTGATTTCCATAGGCAAGAAAGAAAACTTACTAACTGGTATTGTTATTATTGTTTTTACGTTTTGTTGAAATTAGCGTATGAAAATCAACTAAGACATCAGTAATAAATAGAGGTGGAAAAAAACTACAAGTAAGTCTAGATCCACAAAACATTGTGGATGAATACAAGCTAGGGGCAGAAAAAGAGTTCTCTTTCTCTTTTAAACTATACGGATAATTTTTTAGACTTGAGCGCAGACAACTTTTGTGGAATCACCTAAAATTCGAAGATGACCTTGCACGATAGAGCTCGTTTTTACAGAATATCAAAAAAGGTCTTTTATTCCGTGCACACGAGAAACAAGAAGTACAAAATAATTTTCTATTCACTCAAAAATTACCTTCGAAGCTTAAACAGGGCAGTTGTCGGAACAATATGGCAAGCGAGTGTGTTGCTCTAGAATTGAACTTCTTTTTCAGGATTTTGAAAACGTTTGTAAGTAATTTATAGGAATAAGTTATTTAAATGTTCGAATTTTGTGAGCAGAATCTGTTAGAAAATGAATTGAAAGGCTTCTTGAGCCGTATGTGACTTCAAAACTGAAGAATAGTAACATATTTTCATGCTTACAAATATAAGTTTTCAAAGAACATTATATAGTTTGAAACTATCAAGGAGTGAACGCTATCTGCATTACAAAATGTCTTATTCTGTGAGAAACGCAAATCGTGTATTCTTTTGTCGATGATAATTACTCTCTGGAAAGCTAACTTGAGCAGCTATAGTATATAGTTCTCAAACAGAGAGGTTTTTGAGAACCGCGAGAAAATGATATAAGAAAATCAAGCGGCAATTGAACTTAATAATTCCTAGATAGGTTAGTAAATTAGTGCACGTTAATACATAAAAACAGAAGACTTCTGTGCTATATCACACTTAAACAATTCGGTTCGCGCAGCGATAAATTTTAGAAAATAGCGCAAACTTCATTATTGAATGCCGTGTTCGTCTGTCCAAATGTGATCTAACAACTAGAAAGAAGGAGTATTTCTTATCGGAGCATCTCTGAAGAAAATGCATGAGGAAATGTTTTTTGAAGAACCATTTGATTTCAGACTCTGTCTCTAAATGGTATTAAAAACACTTTTGGCATTGAGCCATGTATATGGTTTTCAAAACAATTATATTGTAATAAATTCTAGAGGTCTGGACAGTAGACGAATAGCATGTCTACCCTTCTGAATATGCCCCTGGCTCGATGTGACCAGCTTGTTCTACAAACCTGACTACAGATATTGCCAACGTTGAGTGCCAATGAAATCATATTTGGTAAAACAGTTGACATGAAATATTGTCGTTCGTCTGTCGAATATTCCTAGAAATCAATTCACAAAATTCAGAAATGAACAGATTAGAATTTACATCATTAATTAATTTTTCAAGACAGATCATTTCCATGAACTGTTTGGTATATTGCTGGATTGTATACTATTAAAGAGAAGAGATGATGTTGACGATATTAGAAATATGTAAGTCGTTTCTTTTTACTTTAATGTCTTTAATGGTTGCTTTTTTCTCTTCGCATTTCTTTTGTAATGTTTTCAATGCGTTTTGAATGATTGGCCAACGCTGTTGTCCACGTTGCTGAATGGGAGATAACAAATGTTTAGTTATTTCAAGTGTGTAATGTATATTGGAACAGCTGAATTCTGGATTTGCGGAAAACTCTCTTATCAACACATTTTTCTTTCATTCATGATCAACGAACACTAGCATGTCAGCAGTCGAATAAAATGCAAGCAAAAAAACTTAGTGAATAGGCTCAATGAGTCGATTTTATTCTGGATATTAGGCAGTTTCAGTAAGTAATTAATAGCTTGTCGATTTAGTTCGCGTACTAGACATCCACAATTACATGTGTGTAAAATGCTGATATATCCCTGGCACATGCTATTTCGAATTCATATGAGAGGAGATTACATAGATCTCCATGTAACATAAATGTAAAAAAGCTGTTAGCGCAATCCCTTACGGGATTAAAAATGTGAAACACGATGGATCTGTTGTTGCTAATTAAATGGAAATCGTTTTGTTCCATTTCTTTGCAATATATTTGTAGCTAACCGTTTATCTGATGCTTTAGAACTACAGTTTCTCTGTCACGGTCTGTGATGGGTGTGAAGCCTGTCTGTCACGGTCTGTGATGAGTGCAAAGCCTGTCTGTTACGGTCTGTGATGGGTGCAAGCCTGTCTATCACGGTCTGTGACGGTTAATTAGTTAATTAAATACTAATTCATTAAATAATTAAATAATAATTAATTAATTAATTAAGATGTCTGTAACGTTCTATGACGGGAGAATCACCTGTCTGTAACGGTCTGTGACGGGGGGAATGACCTGTCTGTAACGGGGGAATTACCTATCTGTAACGGTCTGTGACGGAGGAATTACCTATCTGTAACGGTCTGTGACGGGGGAATTATCTGTCGGTGACGGTCTGTGATGGGGGAATTACCTGTCGGTAACGATCTGTGATGGGGGAATTACCTGCCGGTAACGGTCTATGATGGGTAAATTACCTGTCGGTAACAGTCTGGGGGGGGGGGGGGGGGGGGAAAAGTTTTCCCCCCGACCCGCTCCAACCCCTTTTGGAGGTGTTTTCTAGAAAA